GTGTTGGAGGACTGTGTGTGTGTGTGTGTGTGTGTGTGTGTGTGTGTATCGTAACCAGAATAGTTTTTTTCCTGCTAATATGAAACTAAAAATATACTAGATATCAGATAGTTATTAGAAGCCAAATCCAACTTGGAACAAAAGAAAAAAATTAAATATGAAGGAAAAGAAATAATAAAAAATACATGACATTATTATAATTAAAACATTTAATCTACAGTGACTCATGAAAAGTCTTGGCTAGATCCGACAGTTTTTGTAACATCACACACTGCATCAGCTGTGGGACAAGGATCATTTCTCATATCTGCAATATCACACATTGCATCAGGTGTGCGATGAGCAGCATTTCTACAATATCATTCCTCATTTATGCACTATCACACAGTACATTAGGTGTGTGATGAGCATTATTCCTAATTTGCCATCTATATTTGGTAAGATAACTCAAAGTTTTCCTTAGATCAAACCTTTCCTTTTTTGTAACCTCAGTTACTATCACTAATGGTTCATATGGCGACCACTAGTAAATTTAGTTCAGTGGATGGCTCTGTCTTCCCTCGAGGGGAACGACGTACCTATTCTGTTCTCCCTCGATGGGTCACTACTCAAAGTCTCGCTCACAACTTAATATCGAACGGACGTTGATTCACGTCTACTGTATTTACATAGACGCCGTCCCTTTCTCACCACACTCATAAATAGTGGAACTTACGGTTGATCTACACTCAGGAATTATATACATAATACTTTTTAATAAAACAAGAAACTTCAATTGGGTTTCGTTACTAAAGCCCAATATAATATATGTGAACCAACCTGGTTAACTGGGAATTAACCAGCCGGTTCACTATTCTGGGACGGAATCCTACTTTATTCTGAGGCGGAATGGGAGTAATCTTCATATGATCCCCACACTTATTCTCTACAACTGCCTTGGTAGATAATATCTTATGTTCTGCTGGAGTTCTCCCCCTACAAAAAGTTCTCAAGATCCGAGGATGAATACAGTATTACATTCAACATCAAACAAACCATAAATATACAGATAGGCATTTTGCATGAAACAAACAAACAACATATTTTCTTTAATTAGAAAAACTGCAGTACAGTACATGCATAATAATTAATTATTCCTGATAACAAAAGCAGCTGTAAAAGCTCTCATCAGTTTCCATATTTTTATTTTCATCTCCCTCGGGTGAACTTTTCTCTAATAGCTTCCCATTTCAAGGAGTTATAATGCTATATATATATGCTACTGACTGATGATTATGTTTCATTAAAGAGCCAAAACTTAAAAAATTTATAAACCACTGAAAAAACTTATTTCTTAACCTCAATATCAAAATAAGTTTTTCTTGACAAGATTTAAGATAAGGTACCTACAGTTCAATACAATATAATAAAGATGCACAAGAATGGCAGTGGACACCGTGCTTTCCTTTAACTTGACAAGACACATAAACACAAACTTTTTCCGGTTACCTCAAAACATTTCCTTTTAGTTAAGTGTGCCAAGACTTTCAAATGTCCTAAAACATCACTTAGAAAAATCATTCTATATATATATGTTTCAATAGCCAATTAAAGTTCTGAGATGATGGCCTCTACTTCATTCTGTGGGTAGCGGTGGAAGCCCTTGTCTGGGGTGACGGCCGCTACTTCAACGTTGGACCCACTCACTTTTTCCTCCATCACCTGCTTCAACACTGTCAGTGCAATCTTGAGAGCTTCTTGCAATGTCATCGACTGAAGCATAAGAAAATGGTTAGCGTTACCGTACAGTACACTACTTCTAAATTGTTCAAGGCAGAAGGAAAGTGACAAGTTTTGAATTAAAAAAATTCCTCAAGTGCAGATCTACCGAAGAAAAAACCTTAACCTATTGGTGAATGACAAGAACAGTTCAGTCAGGGTCAACCACAAATGATATAAAACAGTCGGGTAAGTAAATTTGGAGACTCATTCCTGTGATCCAATTTCACCACTGGGAGCAAACTTTTGTCCATGACTGGACATGAAATATAAAATAACCTCAAGGATGTTAAAAAAAAAAAAAAAAACACACACACACACACACCACACACTCTCACACACACTCTCTCTCTCTCTCTTGCTATCTATTACGTTAAACACACTCCGAATTTTGTGTGGGGTGGATGAAGGGATAGAGAAACTTCAAATAAAGGAGAAGAAAACTAACAAAACAGAAAAGCAATGACATATATAATAGAAAGTTATAGGAATAGTTCAAGGAAACAAAAAGAAATACAGTACTGTATTCTCAAACACACAAACAGTACCTCCTCATAACCTTAACTTGTTTATGCTGTGTAGTGTATACAAAACAAAACCTTAATTAACCTCCTCACTGATTCACTGTGCATGTTAAGTAGAGTTGTCAGACTCATTGACACGACACTTTCACCTACAAGACGGCTCCATTGTTCATGTTACATAATCAAACACCAGTTCACTACCTATCATGACACCATTGGATAGAAGTATGACCTTAGCCAAGATGTACAAGGTAACCTTAGCTTAAGTATTGATACTGTACAGTGATACATTTCCCTCGAGGGGGTATCGTAATTTAATGTAACCTAACCTAGTTCCTTCACAGTTTTTTATTATTATTATGAAAAATGGCCTGTAAAAGGCTCTGTAGGACCTCCAATCAACATAAGTAAAAAACACAATTTGTGCTGAAAGAATAATTACAGTTTCTTTCTTCTTAAACTACAGTATACTCTCGATTTAACGGAATCTGATATAACGAACGCTCAATTTAGCGAGTCATTTTTTCATTATTTTTCGCTTGATTTAGTGAACTAGTTCGCTAAATCGAGATTCATTCCATTAATACGCTCACACTTACAGAGAAACCTGAGACACTTGATACAGTAAAACCTACTTCAGCCTACGGTGAATGTATTAAATGTATAAAAATGATAAATAATGATAAAGCAATTACCGGAAAATCTGAGAAAATGCCGAGAAAATCACTCCAAACCTTTCTGCTCTGGGTTTGGGGTCCAAGGTTCCCGGCGTTATGAAATATTGCATTGTGTTTAGCCACATCCTTACATGATTGGTGTGTGGATGGGAATGGTGAGGTGACATGCCAAGAACACTTAAACAGCACTAAACTACTGTCTTATAACATTTGACTTTATAATTTTTATTTTAAAATTAATTGATACATGATGGCTCAATTTGACTACTTTTTCACTTAGACAACTGATCAGTGAATAAATGAGGGCATATGGAGACACATTATACACTAGTGATGTCAAGAAGCTTGCAACTGCAACAACGCATACATTATTGCAACCTGTACTCAAATATACTAAGTAAATTACTAAACATTTTATGTTTAGTGCAAACTATGGGTTGTTTAACTCAAATTAATTGCCATCTTGCAAGAATTCCAACACTGCAAGTCATATTTAGTTAAGTCAAGTCAGCGTCATTTTATAAGCAAAAAACTTAAAACTCCTTCTTTTATAATCCCTACTATGCACCCGGCTCCAGACTGTCAACACCCCCCCTCCCAGCCAGCAGGGTAGACAGATGGCAGTGGGTGGTAATGATTAATGAGATGAAGGCAATTTTAGGCTTAAAGTTTTCTTATAAAATGTCAGACTTCTTAACAGAATATAACGTGCATTGCTGGAATTCTTGCAAAATGGTGATTAATTGGAGTATAAACTTCCCATAGTTTGCACTAGCCAAAATCTTTTTCAGTAATTTACTTGACTTAGCAGAATATAAGTTGCATTGCTGGAATCCTTGCAAGATAGCAGTTAATTTGGATATAAACATCCCATAGTTTGCACAAGAGATAAAGATTTTAGTCCTTAGCTTAGTACAGTAGGCTCTCATATTTGAACATCCATTTAGACTGTAAAAACCTCGCAAAATTAAAATACAACTTCCTATGGAGAAAATTAATTTGAGTCTGGTACTTTCCATGTTTGGCTAAATTTTGCCATATTTACCCTACTTTTTTTGGCAAATTACTACCTGTAATAAAGCAACATCCTAATAAACCAACAAAAATAACACAGATAAAGTTAAATAAAAACTAAAAACAACACAGAAAAACTTTTTATGTTCTACAGCTTCAGCTAGAGTTGAACCTGATGACTTGGTAACTTCGTCATCCAAGTAAAAACACACACAACAACATTGGCTGTCTTTATGTTTTCAACTTTACCACCACTGGTGGGTAGAATTTCTTTTGTAAATTCAGAAACATTAATTAAAATATATATATACATGAACAGTAAACAAGTGTTGCTTTCATATTCTTATGTAGAGTAATGACGATATGTTTTCACATGTGCGCACTTACATACGCGATCTCACTTTTTTTCTTTACCATTAATGGTTAGCAGTGGGGTATGTTATAACGAATCTAATAGGTTCTAGAACCTCGTTCGTTATAGGATTAATTCGTTCCAGGCCCCCAAATACAACCACTTAACAATGAAAAATTTCTGTGGAAATTGTAAAAAATACGGTACTTTATCTTACCCTAGTGTTGTTCAGCATGCAGGACAGGAGGCAGAGATTCCCTTAGCCTTACATAGTTTTTAACTCTTCTTTATTCTTCAAAATCGTACATATAGTCGATTTAGCCATTCCATATTCATCACTAAGTTTCACAATGCTTGTTCTATTCTCACGCTTATTTATAATTTCTTTCTTAGTTTCAAAGGTTATTAGTTTTCTCACTCGCTTTTGACGATTCATTATTACAATTGTGTACACTTGTATAACAAAATAGTTATAAAAATAACACGAATTTCCGTATCAAAAGACAAAATTTTAACAAGATCAGTGGTGCACTGACTACACATTGAACCAATATGGCGCCCGACGCTCTTGCTGTGAGCCACGATACAACGATATTCGTGCGCAGGACGAAATAGTCCCGTATTCATCCGCGTTCGTTGTAGGAGTTTCGTTTGTTATAGCATTCTCAATTTTATAGGTAAAACCGTTCGTTATAGCAATATTCGTAGCAGAATCCGTTCGTTAAAGCATACCCCACTGTATTTCTATTGTTCCATTTATTAACATTAACTAACATTACTTAAAACAACCATATTAATTTTTTTACATTAATTTTACTACAGCTACAACCAGAGTCATATTTTCTTCAGTTTTATATGTAGAACCAGTCAGTCACTGGTTTTCTAAACATTAACGAAAACAATGCCGTCTCGTCTCCTCGTGTGTTAATATTCTACATATTAGTAATGAATTGTATTGCTCATTTTGCACACAAACATTAATTCAATAAAAAAGATATTCAGTGATAAACAATAATGAATCTTTTGTACATAAGAGAAATGACGCTGTTTACACGATTGTGCACGTCTGAACGTTGGCAGGCAGCTCAAACCCGCTGAAATTTGAAATTGTATAGTTTTTTTTTTGTGTCCAAATAAAAAACTCGCAAAATTTGAGAACATACTGTACATTGGAGTACAAGGTGAGTACAGTAATGTTGCTCAAAATTATGGCTTTTTCACAGGGTCAGGATATTATGGTACCGAATGTAACAAAGTATTTCAAATAAATTCTTTGTTTAGTTCCGTACAGAGACTGGTAGAAACTGACCGCACACCCCTAAAAAGGTTGTCTGCATCACTTTCTTACTGAACAAAATATTGTTTATTTGTTTTTTATTAATGACTAAAGATATATTACTGTAATAATTTGAGCTTATTAATACCTGTACCCTTCATATACATTCCATGAGAAGGTCAGTAATAAGAGACCACTAATCCCCCACCCTACCTCACCTTGACATTGCATCAGGTCAGGTCAGGTTTCCTCTCAAAATACTTTAGCTTCTATCTTTATTCAAGACATATTCAGGTCATAAGACCCACTAATCCCCCACCCACGAATGAGTAACCTGATACAGTGAACCCTCACTTTACGCGGTCAATTTCAATTGAACCCATGGAGGCCCGCGTAAATTTTCTCGCTCGCGTAAAATGAACAACATAACATATGGGATTAATTGAAATAGAGACCGGGCGGACCCCCAAACTCCATTTTTCCCCGACACAATAACTATGTTCTAGTAAAAATAACATCTTAATTTTATGATGGTACACCACACAATTAATATTTAAGAGAAATAGAGAAATACAGTCGCCAAGTTAATGTCCATTCAAATAATGGACTCAACTCCCTCCCCCTCTTCTCACACTCGCTGGCTCTTCCCTCTCTGAGAAATGTTTGGGGGAAAACACTAGATTTTAAGGTATAGTAATAAATAATACCTCAAACTAAAGTTAGGATAATATAATTGACATTGCTGGATTCCTTGCAAAATCTATGATGTTTATATTCAAAATGATCATCAAATTGTAAGAATTCCAGCGTATCAGCTAGAGGGTACACGTGTTTTTCGAATCGTTTTCAGTTAAAAAACTGTTACATCACACATATATTTTACCTTAACTGTGCCTGAATGAATATATTCTCGGAAATAAAAAGTAGTTTTGCTGAAACGTGATGTATTTTAATGTAATATAGGATAAAATACATGACGAAAACAAAAGATTTTACCTAACCTTCCCATGTTCAAGAGATGTTACTCGTTTTTTTAATAGTTTTTGGTTAAAATACTGTTATATTACAATGGCATTCTATTCATACTGTGCTTGATATAATGCATTCACGGAAATGTAATACAGTGTTCCCTCGGTTAACGAGATTTCGGT